CAGTGTCTGCTTAACTTTTTATTTGACCCCAGCACTAACTCTTGGGACCACCTGTTCCTTATGGTTTGTTGCCTGAGGAAAGACAATTATATGCTCATAGTCTTTACGGCACAAAGCTGGCCCCTGATTTTGAATAGTGCACATTTGGCTGCTTTGGTCCAGAGCCTCCTGGCCTTGTGTCTCCATGGAAAGGCTGCTGGCAGAAACAACCATGTTCCTAGAGCAAATCCTGAGGTGAGGTTCCAGAGACGGTGGGAAAGCCACTATTTCTCTTGTGAAGGTATGGAGAGCTGTAAGTGGTTGCCAGATATCCTTATGGAACAATTTTTCAAAAACCTGATTTACTTCCATTCAGGGATTAAGAAATACTCCAGCTACAAACCTAAAATAACCATTTATTTTGTGGTAACATCTTTTGTGCCTTATCGATGGTCACCATGCAGGTCCCAGACACCCAACGAAGAATTAAAAATATTGAATGAAGTACAGTTTCTGTTTCCTTTTATTGGACAGTTTCAAAATAATTCTCCAAAGAATGAATGCCTCCCTAAGTTACAAGTAGCTGTCAAAAGAAATAACATGAAATTATTTCTTTACTTTTAAGAAAAGCCACTGTGAGTTGCAGACAACTAAAGGCATTGAGAAGAACTTGAGCTGGGCCTAATCTTAGACAAATATTGGGCTTTATATATTGCTCTTCAAGTTTGTGTCAAAGGCAGCTTTGTCTTAAAAAAAACTAGATGCAGGCTGAATATATTTATAGCAAGTTCACAGCTCAAGAGGGCTATCGTCTTTAATCAGAAGTAAATTTTACTTTAAGACAGGGACAGATATGTCACAGATGCATTTATTCAGCATTTTGTGACTTTCCTGTTGTCCCATTTTGCATTATTCTGAAGGTACAGTTTGCTAATAATAGGTGACTTGATGTTTACTATCTCCATCCCTGAATCTTGGTTAAGGTGGCACTGGATCCCTATTATGTTTCTCTAGGACAATGAGCAAAAGAGCAGCAGTGGCAGATGGGTGTTGGTGGCCTCATTCCAGGCAGTTTGTCCACCTACAAATAACAGCAGACTCTGGGACTGCAGGTTTGCATAAATCTAACAGCAAAGGGAAGTCTTGGCTCCCATCCTTCAAACAACTCTACACCACTAATGTGACCCGAGAATGGAGGATCTGGTTTTCTATGACCATTTTCCAGGGTCAAGTAGAGTCTCCTTGTCATTTTTTATATTCATTCACTCAACAAATGTTTATTTAGTTTCCATATGGCAGACATTATTCTAGGTGTTGGGCATGGAGCAATGACAAAGTCCCTGTTCTTTTGGTGCTACATCACGATAGAGAGAGAATGAATGTCAGCTTTATGCACTGCGCTGGTTTGTTTTAGAGTCAGCTGGGAAGAGGGACCCTCTGTTACGTCGTCTCCATCACACAGGCCTGTGGTATGCTTGTGGGACCTTGACTGACTGTTGATGCGGGAGGATCCAGCTCACTGTGAACAGCACCATCCATAAGCAGGTGGACCCGGGTTGTCTAAGAAAGTAGGCTGAGCAAGTCATGAGGAGCCAGCCAGTAAGCATCACAGGGCCTGACTTCCCTCAGTGATGAACTGTGGTGTGGAAGGGTAAAACAAGTAAACCTTTCCCTCCCCAAGTTGCTTTTCATCAGAGTGTGCATCACAGCAACAGAAAGAGCGTGCATTCATCTAAAGCAACGCCTAAGTTAATACAGAAGCAAACAGGAAACATAGCTAATAGTGTTGAATATGCAGCAGAGAGGCAGAGTGAGCGATATAAATATGAGTGATTGGGCTTGGGCACTCATACAATGGTCCCCTGAGAGGTCAAGTCTCACATTAATCGTGAAGATAAGTGGCGAGCTACATGGACGCAAGCCCTCCCTGGGTCTGACAGATGCAGAAATGATCTGTTTCTGCCAGGGTTCCAACTCTGCGAGAGTCCTCTGAGTTCGAACTGTGCTTCCTAAAAGAGCCGCGTTAATGCACAGTGTTGTCCGAAGGCAGAAACTCTCTCATCCGTTCCCACGTGGCTGTGAATTCATGTTGGTTCTCCAGCTGTCTTGTTGTATAAAAAGACAGAAAGGGCCGTATAAAAAGACAGAGAAGGCAGCAAGGAGAGTAGGGTGGGATGGGCTGGTGGTAACTGTGGAGTCAGTGTCTTGAGAACAGAAAGGTCAAGGGTCCTGAGCTCTGGGGTCAGCTGAGACTCCTCCACACTGCTTGCCATTCATGTTCTTTGTGATTTTTTTGCTAGAACAACATGTGAGTGCACCTTCCCCAAGGCTTTCCTGGCTCACAGAGTAGGTTGGTAAATGGGCTGGAGTCAAAAAGGGCTGTGCGGCCATATTCAAGCTTTACCACTGGGAAGGGGTGAGGGAGAAATTGGTATGAGGTGACAATGAAACATGGGGGCATGACAGCAACCTGTGCATGGGTCTTTTGTCTGGCCCTTGGTAGCTGATCTTCCAAATCCAACACACAAGAAATCTACCTTTAAAAACAATGATGTCTTGGGGGAGAGAAACAGCCCCTGGGACTGTGACGAAATTTGGATAAACTACAGAGTTGAAAAGCTGCAGAGCTGTGGACGGAGTGTGTTGGCAGCCGAAAGAGGTCTGCATGATGGAAAGGAGACTGCAGCAGCAGCTAGGAAGAGGGAGACTTGCGGGGATGCTGAAAGCAGAAGCCAGAAGCTGCAGCAGCAGCAGCAGCAGAGAATGGAATGACGCAGGCAGATGGAGGAAGGCAAGTGATGAAGGAGGGATATCCACAGGCGGAGGTGAGAACGGGGTCATGAATCTCCTGCAAGGACAAAGAGCTCTCCTAAAAAAGCTTCCCTAGGTCTCTGTAGGCTTCTCAAAAGACAAAGACGGATACCCAGGATTCACAAGACTACAGTGTTCCCTGAGGGCCAATAGATGCCTTTTGCAAAATGAACTCATGGTCTTCACCACACTTTACACCTGGCAGCCTGTTAGCTCAGCGTTTCACACTCAACTGTATTCATGACCCAAATCTGCTCATTTGTGTTTGCAGAGATATGCGTTTAGTAGTCACTTGTTTCCATAATAAAGAAAGCCAGAAGGTCTTTCCTGGAGCAGAGATATTCTGCAACGCTGCTCAAGTGAGGTCAAGCTGCCCCACGCTCGCTGACTTGCTTAGGGGGAAGCAGCGTCTGTGGTTTCTCTGAAAGTGAGCATTCAAGATAAGCTTGTATATGGAGTGGGGTCGAGTCTGGGAAGATGGCTCCAGTTAAAACGCTTGATGTGCAAACCTAACTAAATGTCTGGTAAATGTGGAGATCTGCCTGTAATTGTAGCCTCAGAAAGCAGAGAAAATGCTTTTCCTGGAGCGGTCTGTCAACAGAACTAGCCATGTCAATGACCTCAGGGTTTGACTGAAGTAGAGTGGCAACTGAGGATGATTCCTGATCTCCGGCTTCCACATGACATGCACACTCCTACACATGTGCCCACACATATGCTAACATGCGTACATACATGCACACCACACACATACATATGAAAGGGGATCAATTAAACAGCACGAGGAAGAACTTGTAGTTGTTCACCTGTGTAGTACAGGGATTGTCGTGTACGTGTACCTTGAGTAAGAATAGTTAAGGAGAATGTCTTTCAATTAATCTCCTTATAGAATCTCTTTATTCCAAAGTCCATTCTCAGCAATGTCCCCACATATGCAGTGTTTATAACATACTAAAATCTATTGGCTATAAGGACAAATGTTAGAATTTAAGGTTCTTTTGTGGAGTCCCGTCTCGTTCCCACCCCCCCCCCCACCCCAGCCCGGGCATTGGAGAATACTCTCCTGGTGTTCTGCCAACATTACTGATCACACCTCTTTGGAGTCTTCCCTAGCTTTTAACTTTGGTCTCATCCTGTCTATGTCTCTGCTCATCACACGTCATTTACTGTATTCCCTTTCAATGCCATCTTTACACCATCAACTTATAAGGTAACTCTTACAATCCAGACCCTCCATCTGAGTCAAAAGTCCACCTGCTTACTGACCTCCATTTGCATGTCACTGCCACCACCGAATCCTCACCTGAACATATGCTGTCCTTGTTGTGACAAGCTCACTCTTCCCGGTACCCTTAGTGCCCGCCTCTCTCCTAAAACTCACACTGAATTGCCAGCACTTCTTGCTGGGTTTCTCTTTTGACCACATCTACCCTCTGCTATCACCTTGGCCCTTCACGCTTTGCTAGAAGCTGTCCTGGCCTTTTTTTTTTTAAATTCCTCTTCTTGCTTCTGCTCTGACCCCATTAGCTTCTTCACAACTCAGAATCCAGAGAAAGTCCATTGAAACTTCTCTGTTCAGGGCCCCCTGGTGCCTCCGTGTTTCCAGACAGAAAGCCAAAGTGTTAGCAGCGCTGCACACCACCTGCCCCCCTCCCTGACACCTCACGCCTCTCACTGCTCCTCCCAGCTCTCGCCTCCACCTGCTTCTCAGCACACCTGCGTGCTCCTGGTATATTTAGCTTTACATTTACACTTTCCGGAACGTGCTTCCCAGGTTCCCATGTGGCCTTTCCCAAACGGCACCTTCTCCTCCTACCTTTTCCTGACCACGCTAATTAAAATTATGACTGATTGACTATTTTAGGAGTCTCTCATTTGCATCCTGTCTCAACAAATGCAATTGTGGTAGAAACAGCAGCCACTACCAAGATAGAGAACAATGAACTTGTAGTTGAGTCCTAGCTGCGTCATCAACCAGCGCGTACCCTTGGATTTTTGATCCTTGAGCTGTTTCCTCATATCCATGATGGGAGGGAACAATGTCCTACCTGCTCACAAAACACTATAGATAATGTATACCATGGATACTTTTAAGTCACGCATTCAACACAAAGCAAATTTTATCTGGGCCCCCTTTCCTTCTCCCGGAGAACGAGCTTAAGATGCCTCTGTGAAAGAGGGGCGACCCTTGGCAATCACAAGAAGTTTACCTCTCAGGCCACACAGTCCACACATGGCAGCGAACACCGTGGACTCCATCTCGATGTTCCTGACTCCAGCTTTGTATGCTCTCTTCAAGTAGTCTAGCTTTTTTTCTCTCGAAAAGGAACATAAGGCTCCATCTAGGCGGCCCTGACCTGAAAGAAGATGGAGTGATTTAGTGGCTGGTGTCTCACCTCAGCGGCCTCATCAGAAGACTGTCCAGTGGTGCGCTGCTGAGCACATCCCTACCTCTTAAGTGAACCTCCTCTGGGTTAATTCCCCAGACTGCTGAATCTTTCTTCCAAAGGACGGTAGAGCATGGCTGCCCCTGGCTCAAATCTCATATAAAGAGTAGATAGAATGTCTGTATGGGAAGGTGTGCCCTAGTTCTAAAGGGCAGTAGGGAATTCAGGAATAGGGTGAGGCGGTCACAGATACAGTTGTCCTTTGAGGAGAAACTCAGATTGCCACAGTAATAGGCGGGACAGACCAGGTGGAGACAGGGGGTGGGGAAGGGCTTCATATTTCAGTGATGCTCCTGAGGCAAATGGTTTGGACACTGCCACTCTCCAGAGGACCACCACGGCCAGACATAGGCAACCTCTCAGATTTCATGTTAACCTTCCATTCAAGTTTTCCCTTCCAGATTGTTCCTATTATTTCCGGTCTATTTTATTTCACCGGGTTGACCGGTGGTGACAGGAGGTGGAGCACAGTCTGAGGTTACCTCCTCATCCCCCCACCCCTGCCCTGCCTGCATCCCAACTTTTCCCACTCAGCAGTCCCCGGATGGAAGCCAGTTACCATCTATTACTTGCACTTACTTCCTGAAGTCTTTCCCCTCCTGGGCCCTGTTGTCTGTGGCTTCTGTCCCGGCAGTCAGCCTTTCCCTGTTCCTTCTCTCCTCCTTGCTGCTGCCCGCCAACACTTCTACCGGCGTTATTTAGGCTGAGTCAAACCCACAAGACCCAGTGGGTACCGTGAGTGTGAGGGTCAGCCCAGGCAGGTCTCTGTTGCCTCCCTTCACCTACCATAAGTAGCCCCAGATGTGGGCCAGGGCTTTCCAGGGCTGTTGCGAATATAGCGTTTTTTCTTTTTTCCTTTTTTTCCTTTGACTTGTGAGTTTAAGGGTTTTATTATCAAAGTCCTCTCCCTCCAGGTGTGGGCAGAGGTCTGGTGGTAGCTGGTGAGGCGGCCCTAATGGTTCAAATTTTTACTTTTTAACCCTACTTTATGTCATGTCAAGAAGCCAGAAATCTGAATTCTCATATGAAAAGCTCCAGAAATTATAAATGTTGGCAAAATAATTCACAGTTGAAACAGTATCTCAGGGGTCAATGGAAATGCGGGCTCTGTCAGGCTTCTGTTTTTTGAGCTGCGACTCGAAGGCATGGGTGGGTAGCCCTCTAAATGAAGGGCCCGAGAGTCCACATCCTAGAGCGGTCTCCTTGTGTCCGCCTACCACCTGCCTATTGCATCAACACCTCAGACACCTTTTCTAACCTGAACACACGCAAACAGAATGCAACCTATCTCAGTGTGTCTTTTAGCTTCTTAAAGCAATACATAGACTTTGACCAAGAGAAAAGTAAAAGAAATTGTGCCCATTCCACATGGAGGGATGCTCTCTCAGCCTTGACACATCGGGAGGTCCTAGGCCCTGTCCCGGATGATATGACAGACTTTGGAGATCCCCCATGGAGGGCCTCACCCTCCCAGGGGAGCAGAGTGGTGATTGGGTGGAGGGTTTGGGGGGTTGGTGTAGGTGGGGGAGGAGGGGAGGGAGAGGGAGCGGGGATTGACAAGTGAAGCAAGCTTATTTCTAATTTAAATAAAAGAAAGAAATTGCTAGTGAAATCTTAAGATTAACTATGATTATTCTATGTACACAACTACAGAGCAAGGCTTGCTGGAAGCCAGGAGTACTATGATACCAGGGCAGTGTAGATTCTTCGGTAATGAACAGAGTCTGTCCTTGGGACTTGTTTCATCTTGTTTTTCTTTTGCCTTTGCCCCTCATCCCTTGGAACAAGAGCTGCTGCGTGGCAATGACCTTCAGCTTAACTCTGCACTAGGTGTGGAGATTCTATACTCTTGGCTGTGGGATAAAGGCTCCACCCAGAGACTGTCACCTCCCCACAGGATCTGTTTAATTGAACTCTTCTCCCCATTTCCTGGTCTTACTTCCTGCCTGGGGTTCGGGTGAATGACAGAAACACAGAACCAGCATATTCCTCTGTCTTAGAGTCAGCAATCTAAGTAAAAGTCACTAGCAGAGAGTAGACGCTGTCAATGCCACTAACTGCATTTTAGTATTCAAACTGATAGAGGATTAAACCCATTCTTGATATCAACTCATTCTGTGTGTTTCTCAGCTGCTTATTAAGCCCTCATGTTGCTACGCTTTAATAAGCAAAAAGGCTATTTGCTTCCCCCTGAAAATCTGCGCTATTAATTTGCTGGTGTGCAGTTTTAATATAAATTGTGGGTTTGTATCACAAACTTCTGGTGTTTTTCTACTGCCTTTGTGGTGTATAAAGGATTCTCACCTTCATAAAAATCATAGGTACACATCGTGTGTCCAATGAGCGTTGGGAAGCCAGGGGTTTCTCTGCTGCAGTTGAGCAAATCAGTAGCCAGTTCCTTGTCAAGTTCAGTGCTTCGGGTGACTACGTTGTCCAAAATGATCTGCTCAAACCGAGGCTTGAAGAAGGAGTCTACAGCTGTATCTGTTATTACAACAGACCCTGGGGCAATTCCTGCAATATGCAATAAATAATTGAGCCAGAAGATTGCTCAGAGTTGACTTCTGTAACATGTAGCATGCAACCTATTCTGTCAACATTAATTAATGCTGTTTGATGTTAATGTTTCCCCTGCTCTCATCTTTAAGAAGATTTTTTTTTCTGAGTGTAATCAAATAACCTTTAGAGCAGGCATTTTCATTGGCTGTCTGTCCAGATTCCCATTTACAATGTGGTGGGGTTTAGATTTCAAGACAAACAAGACTCTTGGACATGCAAATTAGTGCCAGCCTTCAGGCTCAAATTTGAATAAATTAGGTCAGTAATAAACTAAATGAGCCTGCCAGCAAGCGGCTTTCATAAAGTGATGTGACTACTTGATATTTAATCTTCCTGCAGACTCCTCGATTACTACAATTTCTTGGCAGCTCTCTCCACTCTTCCTTCAGACTCTCATCACATGCCCTCCTTTTTCTCCCTGACTCCATGCAAATTAGGTCTCTTGGCTGACCTTCCATTGCTACAAAGTCTGCTTTGCTCAAGGGGCCTGGGCCCGCTGAGATGCCATTTTCTGTCAACTCCTCCTCTCCCTGCCTGGATGTGTTCTTGTTCTCCCGGTTCCCTTTCATTACACGGATGCCAGCAGTCCTCAGCTGTCATCTGGAGTCACTCCCTTCCGAAAGTCTAAGCGATAGAGGGAGAACCAATGAAACCAGCATAACCAAGTAAAAGGTAATAGAGAGCTTCCTGGAGTGTTCCAGGACCCACCTTTTGATTTGCCCTCATTGCTGCTGAAAACCAGAGAAAGGAGGTGTGTCTAGATGGTACCCTGGGCAGCCTGTCTCTGAACACTCATCACATGTTTCACAGTCATTTGTTTGTCTCTAATGGAATACTAGCTGTATCAGGCTAAGAGCAGTGTCAGTTCATCGCTCTCTCTCCAGGTCTGGTGCTGTACCCATCACATCATGAGGATTCAGTAGATGTGTGGTCAATGAGTACATTGAATACATGGTTCTGTAAAGATGCTGCACAACACAGGCCTGCAAACTCTGGTCCACAAGCCAGCTGTCTGAGCAAATGAAGCTTTGTTGCAATGTGGTCACACGTTCATTCACATACTGTCCTTGCTGTATCTAAGCTATGATGTGGCATTAAGAAATAGCAACAGAAAGTGCACAGTTTGCAAAGCCCAGAACTTTTATTATCTGGAACTTTACAGAAAATGTTTTAATAGCCCTGGACTCATCCTGTTTAGTATAAATTCCAATATGCCAAACTAGAGTTAGCTACAGAACACTTTAAATTTTTAGCTAGAGACCCCAGGTGGCTGTTCTAGTTTAATTTCTGTTGTTGCAATAAAACACAGGCAGAAGCAGGGAGACCAGGTTTTTGGGGTTTACAATAGCAGGTTATAATACATCATTATGGGGAAGTTAAGGCAGGAAGTAGAAGCAGCCAGTCTCATCCACAGTGGAGAAGAGAGAAAAAAATGAATGTACATGTACTTAATTGCTTGCTTGTGCTCAACTCCATCTCCCTACTCTTGCACAATTCAGGACCCCCTGCCTATGGTCACACCACACCAATGAATTTAATCAAGATATTCTCCAAACAGATACACCCACAGGCCAACCCAACACAGGTAACCCCTCTCTGAGACTATCGTCCAAGGATGCCAGACTGTGTCAAGTTGACAATTGAAGCTAAACATCACAGTAGCCTCTGAAGATACTGCTCTGGTTGGTCAGAGGCATCTTAAGGAAACCAAACAAGGGACTTATCTTGTTCAGAGTGTCCCGAGACACTGAGAAGGAAGTTGAAAATGTGTTTTCCTTGCACTGTCTTAACATGTGGATACATCCAAGAAGAATTTATAGAATGTTTGTCCAAAAATGCTTCTTAACTGTGTATCTTTCCCTTACCAAGGTGTTTTCTCAGTTAAGGAATGATCATGTCAGCAAAAGAACAAGGAATATCTGCATTTCCCATCTTCAAATACAGTGTTGCTTCAAACGAAGCAAATGAACCTGTCTTAGGTACAGCATTAGTAACAAAGTTGCACCTCTGAAATGAAGCTGTTTGCATCAACACAGTGGTTAATTTGCCTCTTTTTATAGGCCTCCATCATGCTGTTGGTACTATCTTGTTGTTGTCCTCACCATGTTATCATGAAACACAAGACCATGATCATTTGGATGGTCACCAGAGCGACTTGCAAGAGACTGGTTTCTTATCAAGTGACAATTGCAGCAGTCAGAAGGACAGAATATGTAGCTGTGAGCTCAGAAGGCAAATCACTGTATCCCACAAACCAAGGATTACAAGCAGCCTTAATTACGGTATCTATATCTTTCCCAGGCATGCTGTTCCCTGAAACTGATTATTTGGAATGCCGTTAGATAAACCACAGTCTAGAAGGATGTCTGATCAACACTGATTGTATATATTCTCCATTTCCATTTGGAAGAACATTCACATTTTTTTTGTCCACATGTGAAGGGCTATGACTGACTTTGTTCTTGGATTATAGCTCTAGAGAGCCTGAGGTCCTTTTTAACTTGCTTGATCTTAGTGAGAGCCATCTGTGACACAGGCCACCTCCCCTAGTCCTTTGAGGATTTTTGAGATCTCCTCTCACTCCAAAATGATGTCAAGGGATTGTCTTTTAAAAGTTCACTCCCTATTATGTAACCATGTAGTCCTGCCACTCTGCCAAACTTCCCCTTAGAATGGTGTGTCTGCGTTTACCTTTACTGTCACGGTAAAAAGACGCTCTGACAAGATCTGATCCTTGAGGAATGATAGAAGTGGGCAGGAGTCTTTTGGATGAACTTAGGTAGCCCCAGACCTTCCCTAAAAGCCCGCAGTCCTTTTTGCTACACAGTTGAGTAAAGACACAAAGAAGAAAAGGGCGGTGGAAACCACTAAGAAGAGTCACAGGCAACATTTTGCTAGTTGCTATAAGGTTTGATACTTAGTAGATAAGACAGAAAAAATTCTTTTAATTTTCTTTTCTTGAGCACACTCATTCCTGTCACATAAAATTTCTCAGGCTCAAAACCTGCTCTTACCATGTGCTGGTAAGTTTTTGTCAACTTGATTCAAAGTAAAGTCACCTGGGAAGAGGGATCCTCAACTGAGGAACGGCCTCCATGAGAATGGCCTATTATCATTCTGCCTTGACCTTGGCTTCAGTTCTTGCCTCCAGGTTCCTGCTTGAGTTTTTGACTTGGATTTTCTCAGTGATGAGCTGTGAACTGTAAGCCATGCATAAGCCCTCTCCTGCCCATATTGATTTTGGTCAGTCTTTTATCAAAACAACAAAGAAACAAGCTAGAACATACCATAAAACCATACTTTCTAATAATTCTTCTTTATGTGAACAAAAATAGAGACACACACACACACACACACACACACACACACACGAGAGAGAGAGAGAGAGAGAGAGAGAGAGAGAGAGAGGGAGAGAGAGAGGGAGAGAGAGAGAGAGAGAGAGAGAGAGAGAGAGAGAGAGAGAGAGAGAGAAGGAGGGAGGGAGGGAGGGAGGGAGAGAGAGGAGTTAAATCCTTAAGTCCCACCTCCCAGTACTCTGTGGCCCATCTGAATTCTGTTGGGCTCTATATATGTTGGTGTGCTGTGGATTAACACTGGGATGTGTAAATAATCACTCAGCTTTAATGGTAGAAAACAATCCATCTCACCAATTCCCCCTGACGTTCCGATTCTGATGATGGTAACGTCACAGCAGCGTGCATGGTGGAGTAATTTGATGAGTTCGTGGAGCATAATTGAAATGGAAGGGATGCCCATCCCATGCTGTTGAGAGAGGAGAGAGTCATTACACATCTCGCACATGCATAAGTGAGCACGACGCATTTTTTCTTCTTTACAAGTTAACAGCCCTTGTATGAATTTACATAATCATTAAGACTGTGCCCATGCTTGGGAAAACGTAAGTCATCTCTAAGTGATGCTTGCATTGCATGCTGATGGATGCGTCCATCTGTGAGGACTAGAGAGAGGCACCCTACCGCCAGTTAAGCTGAGCCCCTCACTGGCAAGAACAGAGGGTTGGCAGAGCACAGGTGTGGCACCAGCTCTCGTCTCCCTGTGAGGCTCTTTTCAATGAGCTTATGTGAGGAGGCTGCCCCCCTATACACAACTGACATACAACTGAAGAAACATAATTTTGGCTGCCATTTCATTAGTATTATTCACCCTAGTGAGTGAAATAGAGACAAGCTTTGTTGTTCAAATGTAGCCTCAATTGTTTGCTGCTACTACCATGTGATTTAAGAAGAACTCTAAGGGAGAAATGTGGCTTCAATTCCCACTCAAGAGTTTAAAACGTATGCTGAATATGTGAATTGCCATAGACCATGAACACAGACTGGTTTAATTCAGCATTCATGCCAAAACAGTCACAGTCACCAGACCAAGGGTCAATCAACACAGGTCAGAGGATGTAGCCATTTCTGGTGTTTCTGTTAAGCCTATCACAGCTTCAAAAAGATCTTCCATGCTGTAACTTGTAGGAACCGGAGCTGAGTTTTAGCCGTAGCTACTTCACTTCTAACATGTGGGAGAGTATTGATTCACGATCACAGAGACATTGGAAAACCACTAGAGCTTTGGTCACGATGTCAACCTGAGCTCCCTCTCCTTCCCACTATCAAGAATATTAACTGGGGAAACTGAGGGCCTCTGGGCTCACCATTTCCCCCCATTCAATAAGCCCTGGTTTCTGAAAGCTTTGTAAACCTCCTGGATCCAGGGATCAAATCTGTATTGATTTGTGTGTTCAAGATTAACAAGTTTGGGGACTTGGCGCTGGCTCTGCAATGAATTAATAAACTAGTATTTGCTTCAGTTGTAAATTAGAGGATGAGCTATTATTTCATCTCTTAGGTTCCTTCTAAATGGGTATTTGTTAACTTTAGTATGAAGATAAAATTATAAATAGACTCTTGTTTCTCTTAAAATTCTCTCTGTCTCTGTCTGTCTGTCTCTCTGTCTCCCTTTGTCTCTCTGTGTCAATCTCTATCTCTATCTGTCTCTGTCTCTCTGTCTCTATCTCTCTCTGTCTCTCTGTCTCTGTCTCTGTCTCTCTGTCTCTCTCTCTCTCTCTCTCTCCAGTACCTACTGGAGATTTGCAAAGTGATCTCTACTAGGAACCCCATGCGTATCCAGTACTGTAAGTGGCTAGCCTTAACCATTTGGGCCATGTTCCCTGATAGGACACCAGGTTACTCCTGGCTCTGCCTTATGATGAAGCTTTTCTAACCATTTAAAGTAGTTTCATTTTTTAAATAAATTTTACTATTTTCATTCTCCATTTACTGTGCAAAATGGAGCAAATAATTATAGTTCAAAGGATTTTAACTGAAAAATTAATAGGACAACATCAGGGAATATTTAGCTTCTTCTAAGGCAGATAGTCTATAATTTTTTATTGAATGAACAAATTAATAAATGAATGGATTCTGCCATTAGAAGCCAAAGCAGGTTTCAGGTACTCTTGGCCTAGAGGGAAGATCAACTTCACCACCACAGTGGTATTATATATGTTTTATCTTGTTACCCAACGTTCCCAGATCACATTACATTCCACCACTGAGCAATCTGAGTAATCTGAGGGATCAATGAGTCAAGACTGTCCCCTGAGATAGAGGACATTTACAGCTGAGGTCTTCGGAATTGCCTCATCTATGCAGGTCTTACTGTCCCCAGCGGAGTACCATATCCCTTAAGCCGACTACCATAGCCAAACACACGGCAGACTCGGAGTTTTGCTTCAGGACACAGCCGTGTGTGGAGGGCTGAGCCGGGCAGAGTGGGTGACTGTGGACAGACACCTTCTGATTCCTTGGCACTGGTGGGAGCTGCTTAGAGAAGCGTTCTGCTTTCAATTAGTCTTTTAAACAGACTGTGTCCAGAGCATCTATTGGGCTCTAAAGAGACGCTAGCATGTCACAAGAGCTCAATCGAAAGACACTTGAAGCTTTAAGCAAACTTACTCATGTTAAATTCTAACGATACCAAGAATTGGCCTTTACGAAAAGCTTAATGTTACTAAAGCTGGCTAGAGGACAGAGAAAGACAATGGCTGGAAAGGGAAGCATGTTAATCAGTTAAGAACAGAAAGAAAGTGTTGTCCTTCTTCAAATAGGTAAGTGTAAGTGTAAAGGTGGGTGGTGAATGCTCTGTCCTGCCCTGAAAACCTGCTCCAGTTGTGTCAACCTCTTCACTTGCATGCCTTGTGTAAGAAAGTAAGGCAGAGGTGGGGGGGAAACTGTGTTCAGATGGTCTGGGTTTGGGGTCCAGCCTGCAAAAGGTAACTGGCCTGCAGCTTTCCCATACTTACGCTGATGGAGAGCACAGGGCCTGTTTTGAACATGCAATATCTGTCTGTCCCAGCACAGATGTCTTCAATGTCTTCTCCATCTCCCTCCAACTGGAGTTCCTTGTGCATGAACTGTGCAAAGGCTTTCATTCTGTTGGGGCTTCCACCGACACAGACAAACTGTCAGTAAGAAGAAAGAGGTGCCTCACTATTATAAGAGCAAGGGTCAGCATTCAAATTCTATTGCCGTTATTTTTGTTGTACAGTTAATTTACTTCTGAGCATGTGTAGATGTCCTGGCTGGGGTCAGAATGTGGTTCATTTATATCATTAATCTTAAACAATGCAACTAAGTACAACGAGTTATGTACTAACCTAGTGAAGAAAATCCTAAGTGTTGACATTGTTCAAGGAGGTATTTCCTGGTGATTTTGCTTACTGGTAGCATCAGCCAGCATCATCATCGACATAATCCCCCTAGTGGTGGGCACTCATAGGACAGATGTTTAGTGTCAAGTCCAGAGGATGTGGAATGGAAGCGAGGAGAAAGCAAAGGGACAGCTATCAGTCTTACTGTGTTTTCTGTTTATCCACCCTAACAATAAGTTTTTACTTTAACTGTGCTGGGATAACTTCAAGCTTGACAGGATTCATCTCAAGACTTTTCTTCTCTTTACTGAGAAAAACTCATCATGGAGCAGGGCTTCTTATTGTAAGTTCAGGACTTGAATGTAGTTTCTCAGTTTGTTTTTGTATTTATCATATTATCTGACTTTAAGGTAGGTATTTCTGTAAAAGGTTGTCATAGCTAATAAAATATGGTGGTCTTGGCAGTTAGGCATGGTAATACATGCCTACAACCAGCATTCTGAGGTTAGAGAATGGTGAGTTTGAGAACATCCTTGACTGCATAGTGCATTTGGACTGCACCACACAGTAAGAACCTGTCTTAAAAGAAAATTATAATTGCTGATGTCACAACTTGTTAGGGATACATCAACCCCAAAGATAAGAGAATGTGCCAGAGAGAGGGGAACAGAGTGGCCTGTTGCTGGCCTACATGGGTGAGTATCAGGCAGGGGTCAGAAACAGAGGACAAGCAACACGTTTGAAGCCAAGAGCATGGAGAAGGTGGTTGGGCAGACAGCTTCTCAGAAACAAAAGCCACATTGTGTGGGGCAAGTGTGCTGCAATGTAGTATAAGAGATGTGGTATGTGTGGTGTGGTGTATGTAGTGTGGTGTATGTGGTATGGTGTATGTGGTGTGGTGTATGGAGTGAAGCCCAGAAAGGAAATGCCAAGGAATACTGGAAAGCCTCCATTTGAATGTAGTAGGCAAACCTGGCTCATCACTGATTAAGTTACTTGTTCAGTGATACATGAAACCTGCATATTCCCCAGACCATCATCTTCAGAGCTCTCAGGTTTAATCAGGATGAAGTGAGATTGAATATGAAAAAGGAGCATGCATGGATGCAGGCACCTTCTCAGTGATCACAAATGCAGACTTTTCACATCAGGTAACACTGTCTGGCCTGCCTTTTGAGCTCACATCTCTCTGTTGCAGAATTCAGTGGAAATGAAGCTGAATCAAGTTTCCTATTTAGTGGTGCCTGGCCAATGTGGACAGCACTGGGCAGAGGATCCAAAGAAGGCTAGCAAGGACCTTCACAGGGATGTCTGAAGAGTTTCTGAGGCTGTAGAGTGGGTCCCCCCGGTGCAAAAGATAACAGAAGTGGTGGGTGGTCTGATCGCATGATGTATCCTGTTTCCACTTAACAATAATTCCAGGGTAGCAGACAGTCATTCTCAATCACAAGGCATAATTATTCCTTTTGTCTGGGCACCCTGGGTATCATCTACCCTCACTGTTGTCTTTTCTGGAATATCCTAGGAATTTTTCTGACAGGGCTTTAAGGTAGTAATGAACCATGGGAGTCAACCACCGAGACTAGGGCCAAGAGAGCCAGGCTAGGACCATTGTTTAAGGCAAACTTAGGTTACTATTGATTATTCATGGACTTTCCTCCTTGGTTGCTATGAGTAGTTAAGTACTTTCTTGCTATGATTAAGTCAAATCTAAGTACAAAGCAGACCCCTTTTAAGTACAAAATACAGTAGTTTGAAAATAACTTCAGTGTGTGGTGCCAGTACATCAAACTACAACAATTTGGATTGACCATAAAACCAAAACAGATGTGAGAATAGTTTGTGGTCTATGCTCTGCTTGGAACTGTAGATATTGCCATAATCAACAGGAACTTCTGCATATTTCTGGAGGCATGAAGATGATGGACGTGGACAGAGCAGGCTGGTTTCTGAAACTTACTCCTAAATCAGACTCACCAAGTATCACCTGCAGACACAATTGCCAGTCTGGCTGCTTTAATGAGAGTAACATCCTGCTGAAGACCACCAGCCAACGCCGGCCTCCAGTGCCACTGACTGTGATTTACGTTCCAAACAAAATGATCTTTGTTCAGGATTTATCAAAGGAGGTAGAAATCCATTGGGCAGGAAGAAGAAGCATTATGAAAGTATGTTCAGGACTTTGCCTGATGATTTCCAGAACAAACTCATTTTCCAATGTCTCCAGTAGCTTAAATGATTTTGCTATGTTTCATTAATTTATAGCATAAATGCAGTTTATGTGTATTGTGCATTAATAAGGACTATAGACATTTTGAATGCATACTATGAAGTCAGATGAAGCAATGTTTTTCCACGTAACTTAAAATGTATGGTCCGAAGACACCATACATTTCAGAAGCATGGCCCAGAGTCTCCTGAGCTGGGACTGATCTGCATGGCCCCTACCTGAAGATGAGCTTTCATGGTACCAGAAGACACCATGCAAACTTCTAAAGGAGGGGGCAGCTCACAGTCCTAACTAGCTATGATGCCTGTCAATCACAGCAATGACCGCTATGGCATGGTGACCGTAAGGATGCAGTAGTGACACACACGCCTTGGCGGTGACCAATAGCTCCTTAATTGGACTTAAGACCCACTCAACAAAACTGAAAACATTTGTACTGGAAACCTAGGTAACTACTCAGAGCTAGGACAGTCATGGTTATTGGAGGAGAATCTACAACCACTAATTTACTAAACCAGCATAATCTCTGACAACAATCTGCAAACATTTGTTCTTATAGCCACAGATAAATGTAGATTTTACTCATCTTCAAAAAAATTCTCTTTGCCCCCAGTGGTGGCAGCACATGCCTTTAATCCCAGCACTCGGGAGGCAGAGGCAGGCAGATCTCTGTGAGTTCAAGACCAGCTGGGCTACAAAAGCTAGTTCCAGGACAGACTCCAAAGCCACAGAGAAACCCTGTCTCGAAAAACCAAAAGAAAATTCTCTTTGCAACATATGGGGGGCATTACAGAAAAATACAACCAGTCAAAATGCAGCTATGGGGCCCAGTCCCAGTGGATACATCTAAAAACGTCCTACTCCTAAGGGAAGATTGTGGAATTGATGGAAACATGCAAGAGCCGATGGACAAAGGGAGTTTGCTGGGAGAGTGTGTCTCCTAGCAACATCAGAAGCTGTACTCATAAAGTCTCACTGACGTGACTATCCAAACGTGAAGAGGACAAGGTCAACACCAAAGGGCATGGAAAAGTCGATGGAGAAAAGCCCACGAGGCCTCAATCCAATACAAAGAACAACAGGCAGCAGAGGGAAGCTGGGAGCCAGAGTGGTGTTTTTCCCCAGGGAAGATTACCAAATGATTTGCCAGTGCCTAATAGTCAACCCTGAAAATATACAGACAAGCCACATTCTAAGAACTGAACGGGATAGTGTTTAGGAATGTATATGTATTTGCATACGCATATATGAATGCAATATCAATTAATGAAAAAAGGGGGGACATTGATTTGAAGGGGCATGGGGATGGTATATGGAAGGGTTTGGAGTGAGGAAAAGAAAGGGGGAAATAGGATTACACTATAATCTCAAAACTAAAAATAAATTTAAAAGGCTTGGATAAATTAGAGGATACCAGTTAGTGATTTTATAAAAGATAACTTTTGAAGACATGATAAGTATATATTTGGAGACTGAATTTGAAAAGCATCTTTCTGGCACCTCTACCATATTTTTCAGTTGTTTCTACTTCCAATGACTGTGGCAGAGACTGATGAGTTGCAGGCCAGGACTCTTGCCTCTTTCTGGGTTCATAGTCAATGTTGATTTCCCAGGTGGAAGGGCCATATGCCTGAGTCCCAGCCACTAGACTATGAGGGGAAGTGAAGAGCTCAACTTCAAGCGTAGTGCACAGGTGCACTCCACCCCCATCGGCAAGGAGGACGGATATTTTGTACCTAACTTCTGCTGTCTGCTGGATGGAGGTCGACACCCAGTGATCAGGTCTTGGGACCTCCACTCCACCTGACCAGTCATCAGCCAAGTGCACCTGCTTTATGCTTGTTATGAATTAAAGATCAACTTACATTGTATTAGGCCTCTGAGACTATGTAGTACCAGGTAGGAAAATCCTTCAAAATATAGGAAAGATACAAAGGAATAAGGGTGACTGTCAGAGTTGTTTAGATTTTTTTTCTGCCCATTTATTGGTTTGTTTAAGACAAGATCCTATTTAATCCAGGTTGGTTTTGGACTCACTGTGTAGGCAAGGCTAGGCTTGAATTCTTGATCCTCATGCCTACATCTCCCATGGGCTTTGATTGAGAGTATGCACCACCACACCAAGCTCCTTCATATTTAAATGGTATGCCCTACTATCTTCTCTCCCTTTGAAGTTAGTATTGATAATAATTATCACCATCTTTTGTGGAGTAAGGTTGAATTTTTAGGTATTGGTGAGTTATGTCCTTGCTTTGTAATCAGAATTGCTGACCTGAGACTTAAGGGAGTCAAGAAAATCAAACTTACAATGTTCTCACTCTGGGACAAGAGAGTGCTGGATGAAGGTACATTTCTGAGGACCGAATCTATAACAAGACAGGGAATTTTATCTTTTGCTCCCAAAATTCTGGTTCCGTTCTGATCCTAAATCTAAACACACTTTTGCCTCCTATCCATCAAAATGGGGTTGTGACTGGGGCTGCTCTCTAAGAGACAAAACTATTCTAATGGAACATGACTGTTACCCAACTGACTGTATTGGTGGGTGGGGGCAGCTAAGCGGTTCTGAGAAAGAGTGCCGGTGGCAAAAGCGTTGATGGAATCCAGTCAGGTGGAGAAGTAGAAACACGACGTTCCAATTTCAGGTGATGAGACCAACAGAGAGGAGACCATATGCATTCATGTGTTTATGAACATATCATATGTGATTCTCATCTCTAAAACAAAGCCATTGATCCCATGATTTGCCAATAGCTAGGGGAGTAACAAACGTAGTATTAAACATGTTTTGGAAGAACCAGAAACTGTTTCATCAGGGAAACCTGGGTTTCACTTCAGGTTTTTCACTTGCTGGCTGTGTTGTGCCTCCCACAAAAAGATAAATACAACTGGTGGTTCTTTATTTTTATTTATTTGTTTGTTTGTTTGTTTATTGTTGCTTGTTGTCTGAACTTGATCTGTAGACCAGGCTGGTCTCGAATGCACAGAGATAACAGATGTGTTTTAACACTTTATATTCATTGGGCCATAGTGTCCTCATTTGTATACAGAAGATATCTAGTTTCTAATGTAATCAGAGCCAGACTTCAACTCCTGACCCTTCTGCCCACACATCTTATGTGCTTTACAGGCATGTAGGTAGAAGAAAGGAAGGAAGGATCTCTGTTGTGAGGACTGGGTAGGATCACAAAGAATGCAGTCCATGGACAGTATGGGAGACACACACACACGCACACACACACACATACACACACACATAAATATAGTCATTGTGTATCAAAACATCTCCTATCTTTTTAATGTACTAAATACAGTACACCTTCATTTGTTAGTATGGCAATCCTCTGTTCCAAACAGCCATCCTTAAATAAAGTTCTTGGGAGAAATCATTGTGAGGCATGAACCTCATATCTAACATTTGAACTCAGTACAATCCAGTTAATGAGCACCAAAGTTGGCTTGTTCAAAGATTCCTAGAGCCTCAGTATCAGACTCAGAAGAAGTGACCGGGTTACATAAAAAAAGATAAAGCAGAAAAAGTAGCTGGTGTGCAAGGGCAGGGAGCTGCAGTCTGGAGAGCAGTGGGGACACAGGCTGTGCCGCTGCCCGGAAACCGGCCCACACTCATGTGCTCCTTCAGAGACGGAGGGAGGAGGCTGCAGAGCACAGACACGGGCATCCCAGATGCACTCGCTTCCGTCCTTCTTCTTCCACCTAACCCCATCCTCTTTAGCCTCTTTTTCACGTCCCTCCCCATTTAATTTTGGGGGACTTCTGATTTCCTGCAACTCAGAATCCACCCAGTACAAAGAATAAAATCCCTGGGAACCCGGGAACTGGGCTTTGAAGAACCTGGTCTGGTACCAGCGCTGCCACACAGGAGTGACTTTTACTCCTTCTAACTACTGTGAGTTCATTCCCTTCCATCGTGTCTGTGAATCAGGCTAAACTAACACATCTACATGTGAAAAATCCTTACAAGAAATGCTATCCACTTGGGTCCTGTTTCTAATGGGAAACATTTACTATAAAAGTTAGAAATAGTACATATAATTTATGAAATTATTGACCCCATAAACAATGGATTTCAAATGAAATGGAATAAATGGGAAAATAGTAGCAGCATAATGTTAAACAAAAGGATATAGGATGGCAAGTTATACATAAAAACTTTTTTTTAAGGTGGCTTATCCCACGCTGACGCTGAACTTGCTATGTAAGTAAAGATGACCTTGAGTGTAAAATTCTGATCTTCCTGCCTCAACCTCCAAAATTCTGGGAATACAGGCTTTCCCCACTACACCAGGCTATGCCCTCAGTCTCATAAACATTTTAATATTTTTTTCATTAAAAAGGAATGGAAGAGTCAGTGTAAAGTTGATATGCTCAAAGCACATTATGTGTTTGTAAGAAAGTATCCTTATTGTACATGTCTTTTCCATGTAGAATAAAAATATGCCAATAGAAAAAAGCAAAGGAACGAATAAATGAAATGGAAGAAAAGAAAGTGGGCAGATGGTGTCCGGGTCTAAGAAGTAGGACTATAAGGTATATTTATAAAAGCAGAGTGTTCTTTTTTATGTTTTCCTGGTTTTAAGTAAGGAGTAAGAATTGCTTTTACAATTTATGCACAAGATAAAATAAGTAACAAAGTAACACGATTCTCCCATTATTATTCTATAAACAATTTTCTCATGAAATATTTCTTATAAGATAATAAAAATCTTAACAATACAAAGTATGGACAATGGACATTTTTTAAAAGAGAATAATAGAGCTCTGTTAGTCTTGAATTCTTTCACTATTTAATAAGATAAGAACTAGTGAAGTTCAGCAGTAAATGTGGATGTTAAGTTGTGACCCGAATATGTTAAGACATAATGAATTCTGAATACCCAACGGCTTTGTCAATACAATTATATTTATCTCTAGGGAACACAGTGGCCAACTAATCATGTTTGCCTTGGATTTAGTTAGGAAATCTCTCTGTCTTGTTGGGGAGAAAAATGATTGTTTATGATGCTCTGATGGGGAAGTCCTTCTGTGTACATGTTGTCTTATTGGTTTATTAAATAAAGCACTGTTGGCCAATAGGGAAGCAAGATAGGTGGAACTAGGAGTCGAGGAGGATTCTGGGAAGCAGAGGCATAGTCAGTCACGATGAAGGACGCATGGAGAAGAGGTCCAGACCCTTTTCTCTGGTAAGAGACGACCACGTGGAAATACTCAGATTAGCAGTTATGGGATAATAATTAAGTCAGAGCTAGTTGATAAGAAACCAAGCAAACAGCTAACAGCTTTATAATTAATATAGTGTTTTGTGTGTTATTTGGGGACTGAGACAGCTCGGGATCCAGGCAGCAGGCAGAAAGACTACATATTACAATGCACCCATTCTAAATTAGACTGGCTTCCCATGCTCTTGGGACCTCTGACATGTCTCTAAGCAAGGTTGTGAAGTTTGTTTTGGGGAAAATGAGAAGGAAAAAATAGCAAAGGAAATACAGTCATTTTCCTGACATTCAAAGTATTTTTACCTTTACATCCCCAAACATTGCTGGAAGGTTGTGCGTTTTGGTTCCTAAATCCAAGTGGTAGAGAATGTCTTCATCCATAGCATCCAGGTAAGGATTTTTAACATACACAGACCTTTTTCTGGGGAAAAAACACATACATACACAAAGAGGATGTCAAGACATTTGGAGAGAAAGCACACCTGAGACATGATAACAGGCTACACCTATGATCATCAGTAACACAAGGGTCTACGGCCATACCACCCTGAAGGCGCCCGATCTCATCTGATCTCGATCTCGTCTGATAAATAACACAAGTACTACACAGGAATCTCTCAATTAAATATGGTATACTATGACTAATATTTGTTTCACAGTTACTCTGTATCACACCAAGAACTAAGCCTAAAAACTATACTATACCACAATACTGATGAAATAAATACATTAACTCACTTAATCCTATAACCACCCCCATTAGATATGTTGTGGAATAATCTTTTTGTTCACTGTGAAGATTTGTCACTATGAATGGTTTAATAAAAAGCTGAGTGGCCAATAGATAGGCAGGATTTTTCAGACACACAGGACACTGGGAAGAAGAAAGAGAGTCGCCAGACAAGAAAGAGAGGGAGCAAGACCTGCAGGAGGACAGGTAAATGCCACAAGTCACAATGCAACACACAGAGAATAGAAAGGGGCTGACTTAAGTTATAAGAGCTAGTTTAAAAAAAGTCTAAGCTGTCAGCTGAGTTTTCATAATTTATAATAAGAAGTCTCTGTGTCATGATTTGGGAGCTGGCTGGCAGGACAGAAAAATCTACTTACAAGATGAGTAACATTAATAACCCAACTTACAAATGAAGATACTGAGGCTCTTAGAAGTTGAGCACTCCCATGTAACCAGAAGATATACCGGCATCTCTACTCAGTTCTCTATGTCCCTAATCGTCATCCTCTTGACTATGAGGCTGCCCTTCCCTCACTGTGTCCTGTACTGGCAGCAAGGTATGCTTCCATAGGAGTTTCCCACGTGTTCCAATGAGGAGACATCTCTCAGCATCGCATCTCCATCTCTGCTCACTTGTTAGCTTCCTTCTCAACTTTTCTGGTGTGTATGTGTGTGTTTGGATGTACTTAGGTGAACAACTTAGGAATCCTGTGGTCTCTTTCATATGCCACCATTTCATGCAAGCAACCACAAAGAATTGCCTGGATGAATCTTCTTTCAAAACTCCAGGTTTAGTTCTCTTTCTCTCCTCTCCCTCCCACCCCTATCTCTCCCCGTGTATGCACACATTTTTTATGACACTGGTCTATGAGAACACTTTGAGTATCTTTGCTTTTGAGAACCCCATCAGCCATGCTCAGCATATATGACTTCCTTTCTACCTAAGGCCACTGACCCAGCCCCCATCACTAGTTGGGGTAACAGTCCTTCCTTTCTCATTCAGTAAATTGATGTAACACAAGGTAGTGAGCTGCCCCTGCAGGTGGGAGATTAATTCAGTCTAACCCTATACTTACAAAGCACACTCCTTGCGGCCTTCATTTACTTTATCATAATATACCCCTTCGGTGATAACAAAGGGCCACAGTGGATCAAGTCGTCTTACCAAGAATCCTCCCACTTTAAACCATCTCTATAAGCCTCGTGACCTCACACATCTCCAGAGACTCTTTTTCCAATCCGAACTGGGCTTTAAAAACCACCAAGGGGGAAACACTGGTGACTTGGACTGAAATTAATTGGATGCTCAGAAAGTGTTTCTTTTTTAATTTTGCCAACTAATGCGCTGCCAATGGTGAGAGCTCCTACTGGAAGCCTTTGCTCAGGAACTGCTCTTTCTCCTTTCTGTTCAGTTATCAAATTTCTATTCATTCCTTCAGGCCAGCTGGAACGCATCTTCCAGGAGAGTTTTCTAAGCAGTTTTTATCCCTAATCGATGCCTTTCCCCTCGCTGTGTTCCTAACACATCTATTTTGTGTTAATGCTGTTAAAATGGAGTTAATTTGCTTTCTCCTCAGAAAGATCATAAATTCCTTGATGCAAACTGTCTAGTGCAACTTTCTTTAATTTCTAAGACTTAACAAATCCTATGTGTTAAACTGAATTTAAATATTCAGAAAGTGGAACAAAATACTATTGTTTTTTTTTCTCCTTAAAGACATTAGAAGTCATAGTTCTCCATTAGTTTGTGAGTCATACCTCATTTGGAAAAGAGAGAGAGAGAGAGAGAGAACTTTCTCCATGGTGTTGCTGTAATGTCACTTCAGAACAAGCTCCTGCATCAGAAGCAGGGCAGATAGATAACCTGGCTACAGCCAGGAGGAGCAAGTCTGCCTCCCTTCTCCACTCCCCCTGCCCCACGCAGAGTGTGGGGGTGGGCATCACAGCCTGGCTCAGAAAGCTGGTTAGAAAGGCAAACCATTGACTCAAAGCCTGCATTTTAATAACCCCTAGTAATTCATATGCACACTAGAGTTCGAAAAACACTGCCGCTTACTTTCTCTTCCAAATTCAATTTTACTTTTTCTTTCATCCTGCCAAAGCTGATTTCATGACCATGAAATTTTCCTTTGGATTTCCTACCATGTCAACAAACCATAGCACTAAGAAACATTCTCATTCATCTCCAGCGACTCTTTAAGTGCTTATCAGAAACCGCTGGGGGAATTTAAAGCCTCCTGGAGTCTAATATTGGCAGATTCTTGTCTCCTGGGCCATGGAAAAGAACTTGGAAGACAACCAAAGAAGGTGTTTTGGTCATTTGAATCTTTTCTGGTTCCGTGCAAATTTTAGGGTTGTTCTATTTCTCTGAAGAAGGCTTTAGAACCTTGATTGGAATTAGATTGAACCTGTAGAGCACTTTGTGTTAGCATGGACATTTCACCAGTATCAAGTCTCCCTGTCCACAAACATGAGATACCCATTTACATCTTCTATGTTGTCTTGAATTTCTTTCACCTATGTTTTATGGTTTTTAGTATACAGATCTTTCCAGTATACAGTATTTTATTCTGTTTAGTTGGGATTATTTTATTAAGCTCATTTCCAGGTAGTTTCTTGTTAGTATATAGAAACAATATTAATCTTCAATTGCTGGGTTTATAACATACAAGTTCACCAAATTTATCAGTTCTAGTAGGTGTTTGGGTTTTTAGCGGTGATGGTGGTGTGTGTGTATGTGTGTGTGTGTGTGTGTGTGTGCATCTTAATGTCTTTAAAATAACAAAGCTAGAAATATCACAGTCCTTGAGACAGATTTTAAAGAGTACTGATACCTTGGTCCCTTCTCAGCATTTCTGATTCAAGTGGTAAAGGACACCTGACCTTGGAGCTTCTAAAACTACTTTTCTGTGTTTAAGAAGAAAACCTCAAACAAGCATAGTCATAAATTGCATTCTCTTGTATGATATTTGTTATAATAATCCCTTTACCAGTGGTTCTCAACTTATGGGTCACAACCCCCATGGGTTGCATATCAAATATTTACATTATGATTCATAACAGTGACAAAATTATAGTTCTGAAGTAGCAATAAAATGATTTTATGATTGGGGGTCACCACAACATGAGGAACTGTATTAAAGGGTCACAGCATTAGGAAGGCTGAGGACCACTGCCGTTAACACACTTTGTAGATACCCTTCAATTTCTTTGATGTCTGATTGCTCATTAGAGAAGCTGAGATGGAATGATTCTAAGTTAAAGGCCAGTTTAGGCTATACAGAAGGTTTCAAGCCAGCAAGTGCCAAACAGGGGACAAATGTCTAAAAATAAAGATGCAAACTAAAACCCAGAAGTGATCGCAATCAAAACAGTGTGACACTGACACATCAATGAAGGAAATAAAATGGTAGATCCAGAAATAGACCCGTTATTAATGGACAGTTGGTGTTTGACAAAGCTGCCAAGCACACACAATGAAGAAAAGAATAGGTTCTCAATAAATGGTGTTGAAAAAACTTGATCTCCACCTATAAAAGAATGAAATTGAACCTGCTCTTGCATCATGTCCAAACATCAACCCTGCAGCAGTGTCAAGAGAAAACCACAGGGGGAAAGTTCACTGCATTTGTTTGGAAAGTGGCTACAATTAAAAGCAAGCAAACACACAAATGGGATTGTACCTAACTAGAAAACCTCCTGCATAGCAGAGGAAACAGCCATAGAGTGAAGAGACACCCACGGGCTTGGAGAAAGTATTTGCAAAGTATACCTCTGACAGGAGCCTATAATCCAAGGTTAATGACTCAATAGCAAAGATGTAATAGCATAACCTGAAGATTTGGACAGACATTCTCTGTTGTGAAATATTATTTTAAGGTGTGTTACATTTTTATGCTGTGGAATATTTGTTTAATGCTGAAAAGATACATTGCATTCCTTTAACTCTGTAAAGTTATGTTTCTTTGCCTGTCTGAAACACCTGATTGGTCTAATAAAAAGCCGAATGGCCAATAGGTAGACAGAGGAAAGGATAGGCAGGGATGGCATACAGAAAGAATAAATAGAAAGAGAAAATTGGGAAGAAAAACATCAATGATCAAGAAAAGCAGGGGCCAGCCACACAGTCAGACACAGAATAAGAAGGAAAGAAAAGGTATACAGAAATAGAGAAGACAAAAGCCCAGAGGCAAAAGATAGAAGAGATAATTTAAGAAAAGCTGGCTAGAAACATACATAGCTAAAGCTGGGCATTTATAAGTAAGAATAAGCCTCTGTGTGTGTGATTTATTAATTTGAGCTGGGTAGTGGACACCCTTCATCCCCCCCCACGCCCCCAACACCCCTACACTCCCACACACCCCTGCCAAAAGAGCAAAGAGCCAAACAAGTAAAGAGTAAAAGGCAGCCAACAATAATTCTCAAAGGATTCAAATGGCCGACAAGTATATTTAAATTTTTTCCTAATTATTAAGGTAATGAAAATAAAAAACAATTCAGTATCTCTTCACACCCATTAGAATTATTATCAAAGCCCACTAATAACAGATGCTGACAAGGTCTAGAGGCAAGAGAAACTTTGTATTCTACTGGTGAACGTGTAAATTAATATGGCTTGTCTAGGAAAATATTATGGGGGGGCAAAAAACTAAAATAGAATTATCACATAATACAGAATTTTTACTTTTTGTTATGTATGCAAAATAACTGAGATTGGTGTGTCAGAATGATATCTGTAACTCCCATGTTTATTAAAGCACTATTTCTAATAGTGACATATATAGTTACTTAAATATATATATATATATACATATATATACTATGAATATATTATAAATGTATTTGTATTTGTATAAATATATTCAATATTGAATACTGTTTAAACTTTATTGCAATTATTTATTTGTGGGTATGAGTGTGATTGTGCACACACAATAGAGTATGTATGCAGGAAATCCAAGGACAACTTGTGGAGTCGTTTCTCTCTTCCCATGATGTGGGACCTTGGTACACAACTCAGGTCATCAGGCTTGGTGTCAAGTGCTTATTTACTCACTGAGCTATCTCACTGACCTCCCAGCTTTTATACAGAAGAGCATCCTGTCATTTGTGGCATGGCTAGAACTGGAAGCATGCTAAACATAGCACCAGCCCAGAAAGACAAACACTTTGCCACCTTTCTCTTATGTGGACTCTAAAACTGTTAATCTCACTAAAACAGAGAGAAGAGTGGTGGATATCAAAGACTAGGGACTAGGGAGGTATGGAAAGAGATGGTAACGGGGAACACAGAACATTCTTACTACCAAACAATGGGAAATTGGTGAGGCGATGGATATATTAGCTAGATCAATAGAATTTTCTACAGCACATGCATAGGTCAAATCCTCTCTCTGGGCTGAGGATATAGGACAGTGACAGAGTACTTATTTAGTAGGCATAAGGCCTTGAGGGTCAGCCCCCAACACTGCAAGCCAACTGAACAAACAAACACACACACAAACAAAGGCCCACCAACACACTGTACCCATAAATATATCAATTATCACTTTCAACTAAAAACAGATAAATGAATGTCTTTAAAAGAATTGAGGAAAAGCTTGCCTGACACTTCACACCAAATTGAAATCCATATGAAGCTGGCTCTTCCAATACTTTGCTCTTTCTAAAAACTGTAACTAATACCAAATAGACTCCCACGTAATGTTTCCTCCTCAAATCTTATTTTAAAAACCTAACTTCACTCTTTATTCCTAACTCATGCTCTAAATATTGGTCACCAAATAAAAGTGCTAACTGGGAGGCTCTCTGTTTTCCTTTGTGCTCATTTTCATGTTTATCTCTCTTTGGATTTCCTGAAGGAATGAAGATGGCAAGAGACGTCTCTTTGAGCCTGGAAATGGTGTGTTGTCTGTACGCTGACATAACGACAAGGCATTTCCCACTATTCTCGGCAAATCAGAGGGAGCTTGCAAAAATTCCTTAAGCGTCATGAGGACTAATGCTCTATTGTGTCCTGTTAACCTGAGGCAGAAATTAGAGTTTAATTTGCAGGCAGCTTGAGAAGATTTATGCCTACCTATGAGATGAATAGCATCCATGGTATTTCAGAAGTCGATTCTATGTTGTCTGTCTATCACAAAGCATATGAAATTATCCGATGACACAGTCAACACAGTTAAAAATGCCATAGGCACTACAGGGCCCTTTCATTATTTCTCAGGTGTAGCCTTTGGTCCTGGAAGTAAATTCTAAATTCAGGGTACAGTAAATTCCAAGCTGTACTTTGAATTTGTCTGCTCCTGTGGGTTAGTTAAACTTCTCATGGTTTTTGTATGTTCTTTTGACCTACCTACTTTCTTTTCTATATGTGTATTACTTATGTGTTTTTAATAAAATTATGTGGCTATGGACATGCTAGGAGGCACATGAGGCGGTCAGAGGACAAGTTTGTGGAGCCGTTTCTCTTCTTCCACTATTTTTCGGGTTCTGGGGGTGAACTCAGGTAGCCAGGCTTACTGAACAGACACCTTTATCCACTAAGCCGACCCACCAGCCTCTACTCTATGTCCTCATGAGCCAACTTGCCAACTCCACAAGAATCAAAGAAGAAAAATTTGCAGTGCTTTTATGTGGATTTGTATTGTGGACAGTATTCCAATTATTTAATGTCCAGTGTGAAAGAAATATAAAACTCTGAGGGTATATCCTATACGCACTGAAAATAAAACCCAAGGGACACTCACCTGACCGAAACAAGAAAAAATCAAAATTACTCACCCCTCATATGTATTCTTGTCCGGTCTCATGGATCTATTAGAAGCAGGTAAAATGGAAGCCATACTCTGCAGTGCACAGATATCAGGGAAAAGCACTATTAGGGCCTGCTGTTAAATTACCGATCCAATCACAGCCACACAGCTCCAAGCTAGACTAGCACCTTCAAACTTAGGTTTCCTTCTGAAGTTTTCTTCTAAAATCTTCTCTTTGCATTCTAAGCCACTCTATCAATTTCGAAACACTATCCCAGGAAGGTCTTTTATATGACAGTCAAGCTCTGGAAGCATCATTCCCCCAAGAAGATAGGTTCCTTTGGAAGGTGTGGCATCCTTTCTCTTTGACCAGGTTGGTTAGCTTGTCAGATTTGATCACTGCACCTTTCCCTGGCATCTAACCTCGGTTCCAATGTAGGGCTGGCTTGACACACCTACTTATTTGCTCTGAATCAGCTGTATATGAACACAAGCCTGCTTTTGGCTTCCATGCCAACCTCATCAAAAATGTGTCCAGTACATGTGAGAACTTTCAGTTCTCAAATACTTCGTTTTCCAATCCTTTCCCACTACTTGCCAACTTGTTTTTGTTCTGTGTGATTACTAGTTAGGAAAACATCCAAAGTCAGGACCTTAGAAATTCTCTTTGTTGGAACTTTGCCCTCTCAGTTCATGCAGAAGGTCTGGTGATTAAACAAAGTTGTTTTCCTGGGGTCTCTTCATTTAACTAAACACTAAGTAAGTTGACTCTACTGTCCACTAAACTATGTCTCTGGGTGTCAATGCAGGTAGAATGAAGAATTATAGCTTAAAATTTTCAGAAAAGAGAGCGAGTTTGTTTAAAGGAATTTATTAATTGGTAGCCTGCTGTGATTGTGAAGACCTGTAACCCCAGCATTTAGGAGTCAGGACAGGACAATTGCTGGATGCCTGAGGGCAGCCTGGTCTACAAAGTTCCACAACATATATGGGTATAAAGCAATCCCTGCTTCAGAAAGAAAGAAGGGATGAGGAGAAGGGAGAGAGGGAAGGAAAAAGAGAAGGAGAGAGAGAGAGAAGGAGAGAAGGAAGAAATGGGAGAAATAGGAATACGCTGTTTGCTGGTGCATTTCATTCAGGAGTGAGGAAATCTGCTTCGTCATGACTCTTTCTCTCATGGTTCTGACGGGATTCTGTATGGAGCACAGGTTCAAGAACATTAGTGCCATAGGTTTTAAACAAATCAGAACTTAAAATATTTGCAAATGTGGAGCTCGGAGTGGAGGTTGAGTGGGGGACTGGAGGGGCCTAGTGGGGAGGAAGGGGGAGAAGGGGAGGGAGAGGGAGCTGGGATTGACATGTGAAACAAGCTTGCTTCTAACTTAAATTTTAAAAAAAGTAAGAGAAAAATTTTTTGCAAATGCCAAATAGAAGATATGTGGCATTTCCTGATGTGTGTGAATTTCTCTTTAAGAATGTACATTATAGATAAGAAACAAGTACCATGGATCTTAATTTAAGGTGTAAGTCACCCCACTTACTGATGAAGACCATTTTTTTCAAGACTCAAAGTTTTTCTTTTTTTCTCCTTTCTTCCTTCTTTCCTTTCTTTCTGTCTTTCTTCCTTCCTTTCTTTCCTTCTTTCTTTGGCTTCTTTTGGTTTATGGTAGACCCCCAGCAAAGTTTTCAGAATGAGAAGGCAAATGCATGTTGGGGAATAACAAAGGTAACCTGAGCTCTGGCATGGCCACTGCCCACCAGGCAGTTATAATTTTACCCAAATTATCTAAGAACCGTTATGAAACTTATCTTAGAAAAGGCAATGATAACTATGAGACAGAATAACCCTGTTGGGTGTTGCCTTGGAACTTGGGACCTTGGCTCCTTCCTGTAGCTCATAATTATTTGTTCTTCTCAAACCTCTTGCCACTGCCAGCTGCTCTTTCTCAACAGTCACTGACAACATCGAGATTCTAATGCCCATGACTGTCACCTTGCTCTTCATTTGGCTTTACATATGCCACATCTGTCCATTTATCTTCAGGGGATAATGAGGAAGACCACCAAATTATGTATGGCATTAACCACTGCTTCTGACAGGTGAAAGTGTTAGCTAATTAGGCGTTATGTAATTAATTACCTCTGTGAACAAATTAGGCAAATTAACATGGCTGTCTCCAGTGTAGACTCTGCCAAACAGTGACCCTGGTCACTAATAATGTCAGATAAAGCAAGCTAAAACATATGCACTCCGTTGTAATAACTCTCCCCTGCCCCTGGTCATCGAGATCAGTAGTCGTGAATCACGTAAGGGAAGTTTAGAATAGGCTTGGAGAGTCTATGAGCGGACAGTGCCAACTGGTGTCTTTTGACAAATCTGAAGTTATTCTCTCCAGATTTCTGCCTTCTATAGACCAATTCATACATTTATAGTGGGCTGTCACCTAAAAGTCTGTCAGTCTAACAGGAACGGGGTGGGGGGTAGTTATTTTTTTGGAAAACATGCCACAGGTCAACTCGGGCTGTGTTCCAGCAAAGCCCTGTGACTCCCTGTGACTCCTTACAGCATGGATCAGGAAGGTCCTGCATTAGTGCCACCAGAGTCCCGCTCTGTGGTGCCGGAGCTGCCATGAACACTTCTTTCCACCTTCCTCCACAGTGCCATTCCTCCGCTGGACACCCTCCGTCCCACGCTGTTTGCTCGCAGGCTCAGTTCGGCCTCCCAAACCCTGATATTCATCTGGCTGACTGTAGGTCTCTCCTCAGGGGCTGCAGCTTCTACTGAGTCCAGGAGATTTACACATGTGGAGTTGAAATCCTGCCTACCCTTCTCCTAAGGCAGTGTTCTGTCACTCTGGAGAGGAGTTTGCTTTTCAAACTCTGGTAACACAAGTAGTGCTTTTATGCCTCAGTATTTGCAACCGAACAGTTCTAGTGGCCCTTTTAGTGTGTGTGGGGGGGAGAGTTCTGGTATTTTAAAAATCAAATGCCAAAACAAAGTTTCACTATAATACACTTTCAATATCCACACCTAATAATCGTGGCCTTAACCCCTTTACTACTAGGTTTTTGTTGTTGTTGTTGTTTAAATTCTTTTTTAAATTTACTTTTTATTTTATGCACATTGGTATTTTGCCATGGGTGTTGGGTCCCCTGGAACCCTGAATAGGAACAGGAATTATAGACAGTTGTGAGCTGTCATGGGGGCACTGGGAATTGAACCAGGATCCTCTGGAAGAGCAGTCAGTGCTCTTATCCACTGAGCCATCTCTCCAGCCCCTTACTAATGGGTTTTAACTGCTCTGTGAGTTACTACTGTCAGGTTGCTTCTCCTCAAGGTGCCCAGCCTGGTTATGCAGGTAGGTAGTAGGCTTAGCCAGTTGCCCCCGTCCTAGAGACAGCATCCCTGATAGGTACCCATGACCTTGCATGCTTGCCTTCATAGTGGCAATGTGCATGCCCCAATCCTGCTCTCCTTTTAGGACAAATGATTAAGGGCAGGCATGGAACGACAATGGGAAATTGCCATTTCAAACCAGACTCCCCTCCTGTCCTCTGAGGGGTTAAAGGAGGTTTAAAAATGTCTTAGTCTATCCACTCAGGTGCTGCACAGTCTTCTTATATCTCCCCCCCTTCATTCAGCAGTATTAACTGAGCACATACTGTGCCTAAGATGTCCAGGAAATGCTTCAGGTATAGGCAAGAGTAAGGCAGTTCTTTTTTATTTAAATTAAAACAATTTCATTTTACATACCAATCCCAGTTCCCTCTCTCTCCCATCCTCCCACTCCCCCAACATCTCCTCATCCCACCTCCCATCCACTCCTCACGGAAGGTGAGGCCTTCCATGGGGGATCGTCAAAGTCTGTCACATCATTTGTGGAAGGACCAGGGCCTTCCCCCAGGGTCCTCCCCACCCCTGTATCCAGGTTGAGAGACTATCCCTCCATAGGGAATGGGCTCCAAAAAGCCAATTCAAGCACTAGGGATAAATACTGGTTCCACTGTCAGCAGCCCCATAGACTGCCCAAACCCCCAACTGACACCATATTTAGGGGGCCTGGTTAGGTCTTATGCTGGTTCCCCAGCTGTCAGTCTGGAGTCTGTGAGATCCCACTTGCTCAGATTATCTGTCTCTGTGGGTTTGCCCAGCACAGTCTTAACCCCTTTGCTCATCACTCCTCCCTCTCTACTGTTCTCCAGGAGTTTGGCTCAGTGCTTAACTGTGGATCTCTGTTTCTTTTTCCACCAGCTACTGGATGAAGGCTCTAGGATGGCATTTAAGGTAGTCATCAATCTCATTATAGGGGAAGGACATTTAAGGTAGCCTCTCCACTATTGCTTAGATTCTTAGTTGGGGTCATTCTTGTAGGCTGCACACTCATATCACAAGGACATCTGTTCAATCATTTTCATAGCAGCATTATTTGTAATAGCCAGAACCTGGAAACAACCTAAATACCCTTCAACTGAAGAATGGATAAAGACAGTGTGGTACATCTATACAATGGAGTACTACTCAACGGTAAAAAACAGTGACAACTTGAAATTCTCAGGCAAAAGGATGGAGCTAGAAGAAACTAACCTGAGTGAGGTAACCCAGACACAGAAAGACAAACATGGTATGTGCTCACTCATAAGTGGATACTAGACATAGAGCAAAGGATTCTACAATCTACACCTCTTGAGAAACTAGGACAAGATCTCCTGAGTAAATAAGGAGCATGGGGGAAGGGGGAGGGAGGCAGGAGGAAGAGGAGAGGAGAAGAAGAAGAGGGAGGAGAACATGAGAGATCAGAAAGGTTGAGTTGTGGGAAGGACAGAGAAGGAGAGCAAGGAAAGAGATATCTTGATAGAGGGAGCAGTTATGGGTTTAATGAGAAAATTGGGACTAGGGAAATTCCCAGGAGTCCACAGTAAGGCAGTTCTTACTCCTCTGTTTTTGAAAATAAGATTGCAATCTACAAACTGAGAAGAAAGGTGTTTCTGCCCTTCTTGGGCTGGTCTTCTAGATGTCAAAACATTGATGGTGACAGTGTCTGCAGCAGCTCCTCTGTCAAGCAGTAACACTTTCTTAAGCTTTTCATCTTCCT